CAAAAAATCTTCATGGGATAATCTTGCGACACCCTTCCCTGAGGAAGTCCTGCTTCCACATCTGTACCACCAGCACCACCAAATTACTCACATTTCTTGTGCTAAACAAAATATCTACTTCATTAATATGAAAATCAATGACACGTTTCACAATTCATTATTAAGACTCATTTGAGAAATAGTGAAAGGATAGGCTTTATTTACCTTTAGTATGTAAGGTCAGATTACTCCGTTCGCCTCTACGGTGTGTGCGAAAAGAGACGGACCGTGGACTCTCTTTATCCATAATCAACCAGTACACCTTCTCATTACTGCAGCACAATCCATACATACATCATACATATATGCATAGACACATACAGAATCAACAATAATAGGAACAGCAATAAAAACTCCTTTCCCATATTGATTAGCATTGCACTATACTTCCCGCAAAAACTCAAAACATTTACACGCACTGAGATTCAATAAAAAATTTGAGACTAAATTGAGGAGAAAATGTGGAAACAAAGCGAGTCCTAAGGAATTCCAGATCTGGGTTACTCATCAAATAGAGCCAACGTATCGGCTGTATCTGAAGTTTCGTTTTTTAATGCAGAAAAAGGAAATATTCAGTTGTGGAAAGTGACTTACAGATTGAAGATGGTGTGGTTGGAGCCAGAGCTTGTAAATTCAATGCGCAGATCAAATCTCAGCCCCAGATATCACCAGAACCATGAAAGCTCTATTCTTGGTTAACCTCAAAGCTGAAATACATTTTTTGTAAACCTCAAATTCGAAATTTCAAACATTTAACCAAATAAATTACACCAGCATGCATACCTGTACTTTCAGATCTCAAATATGGAGGCTTTTGAGTTACAAAGACAACCCAAAAACAAAATAGATCAAAATCAAACCAGAAAACACAAGGGCTAACAGTGAGGAGTTAGTGAAGAAAGACGGAGATTTTATTTTTTTCATTGATTTTCTACAAATAATTTTCACATATTTAGTATTTTATAAATCGTACAGCCGCCGGCTGTACTTTATTTTTTTGTTTTTAAAAAATCGTATAGCCGCTTGGCTATACTTATGTTGACACATGCCGCCTAATCGCAAGACGGGTCATTTTGTCATCCCCTACACCGTATAGCCGCACGGCTATACCTTTGACAAGGGACACCTAATCACTAGGGGTTTTTTTGGTTGTAAATAATATAGCCGCATGGATATACTGATTTAGATACGTGGCATCTAATCACTAAGGGCATTTTTTTAATTATATAAATCGTATAGCCGCGCGGCTATACACGGGTTTTCTAGAGTCGTTACCTTTTTGACACGTGGCGCATAGGCGCTAAGAGGTTCCTTTTTAATATATTTAAATAGTATAGCCGCTCGGCTATACGTTTTAATATATTTTTTTAAAATAGTAGAGCCGGCCGGCTATACTGTTTTTAAAAATATTCAAGGGGCTATACTCTGGGGGTGATGAACCAATGGTTGTCCGTTCGAATGAGGTAACAGATCAACCTGACGCAACTTATTTCTGCAGCTATTGTGAAGAGCCATGTAGTGGTCTTTTCTTGGCATGGTGTTGCTTGTGGTGTCAAAGACTGGTACATGTGGATTGCCACAGTAGCATGTCCAATGAAACAGGTGATATTTGTGAATTAGGTCCATTCAAAAGGTTGATTCTATCCCCTCCTCATGTAAAGGAATTGAGCCAGACTTCCGCTGGTGGATTTTTGAGCTCCATTACTCCGGGGGCCAATGAGATAGCATCTTCAGTACGTGCAGCTACTAGGTGTCAGAGCAACAAGTCCAATCATGGAAATGGAACCTCTGTTGACACGGGAAATAGTGGTAGTATTGGGGATATGTCCGCAGAAAGCACAGCTGATACTCATCACGCTGTTAATAGTTCTCATAAAATTGAGGAAAACCGTAATGGTACTGTAAATGTGGATTTGCAGCACCAAGATGGTGATGTAGATAGGAAATTGGATCAAAATTAAGATTTGCTAGTTTAGCCCCTAATCGGAAGTCCTAACAGTACATTCTAATTGATGATGAACCTATTCTCTATTTATATTTGTGATATATAATATATTGTTGCTTAATTGTTGCATCTTTTGTGTTTCATGTAGGTTTTTGCTTGGACTCAAAACTTAAATGGTCTGTGTTGGAGTTTCTTCACCCGCGCCATTTCACTGTGTGAAAGCATTGCGAAGAGGCTTTTCACACCCAAATCAGAACCATCGATGGAGCTTGGTGTTTGAGAAGCAAAAGTTGTGGCATCATCAAACCGTAGTTAACACTGACAGGCGGAGGAGCTATGAGGTTGAGAGGTATTTGGAGGAGGTGAAAGTAGCAGTAGCAAGAGGAGGAGGCGGCATTTGCATAATAAAGCCGAATGCTTTGGTTCCAAGAGAGATCATAAACTATGCTTGCTATGCGGATTTCAGGGAAGCAGCTGAGCTTCAGTGGAAGGCAATGGTGGAGGACATAAAGCACCAGCAAAAACAGAGGAAGGGTTTGGGCAACTTTAAAAACTGCTTGGCAATGTGTCTCCTCACAGATATGCTTGGCAATCACAGAATATCGGCTCTGATATATAGCCTACCCTGCGCGTAGAGATTCTTTAGCAACATTTCAAATCATCATCCTGCATGCATCATCCGTTTTACTTTAATTGAATTGAATGTTAGACTTGGGGTATTTTCAATGTAGCTAGCTAGCTACAATATTTTCTGCTCTGAAGGTGAAACTATTGGTATACGTAATGACTGGGGATGGATTAGATTTTATATTAGATTATATTAGATTCGAAACTTAGAAAATAGTTGCTGCGCGTCTCTACTATTTCTTTTTTAAAAAATTAGGAAAAACCGGAGTATGGCCGCGCGGCTATACTATTTCTTTTAAAAAAGGAAAAAAAGACCCCGCAACCCAGAGGTGCCACGTGTCAAAAACCGTATAGCCGGGCCGCTATACTATTTTTTAAAACCAAATTTAAAACCAGGGTATAGCCGCGCGGCTATACTAGTTCTTTTTAAAAATTAAAAACCGCATATAGCCACGCGGCGGAACTATTTCTTTTTTAGGCAAAACCTAGGATAACCACGCGGCTATACGATTTATTTTTATTTTAAAAAAAAGGGATTATTCCGCAGAAAGCACAGCTGAAACTCATTGAGCTGTTAATGGTTCTCATAAAATTGATGAAAACCGTAATGGTACTGTAAATGTGGATTTGCAGCACCAAGATGAAGATGGTGATGTAGATAGGAAATTGGATTCTAAGCCCTTGTTAGTTTTTATCAACAAGAGGAGTTTGACTCAGCGTGGGAATTCACTGAGGCAATGATTGAATATTCTTCTCAATCCTGTTCAGGTTTGATTTCTCTACCATCTTGATTGTTGCATCTTTTTGTCTATCTACTGAACCAATGTCTATTTTGGTTGTTTGATGAGTCAGTTTTGCATGGGGATTATCATTACTTCTATGCCTCTTTATTTATGCCCTACTTCACATTGAATGGGCTCTCATTTGTCTTCGCATTCATAACCAACTCTGGCATGCTTCATTTGTAGGAATTGGGTGTAATTTGTCAAAAAATTTCCGAATAAAACATGTATTTTTTCCGATGTAGTATTTTAGAAATAGTACAGCCGCACGGCTATATTCCATTTTTGTCTTTTAAAAATAGTATAGCCGACCGGCTATACTGTTCTGACACCTGGCGCTTATGCAAAAGGCTGGCGGCTATACTCGGTTTTTCTTGTTCTTTTTCTTTTTTAAAAAATTGTATAGCCGAGCGGCTATATTATTCTGACACGTGGCACTTAATCACTAGGTGGTTTTTTTTTTTTTGGTAAATAGTATAGCCGTTGGCTATACGTATTCTGAAACATATATTTGCAAGGTATTTTTTATATTAGTATAGCCGGCCGGCTATACTGTAATGTTCCTAAATATAGTATAGCCGTTCGGCTATACGTTTAGCCACATGGCCACTAACCGCTAGGCGGGTCCTATTCCTTTTTTGTTTGGTTGAAAATAGTATAGCCGACCGGCTATACATATTTTGCACTTCGCGCCGGCGGTTCTTTTTTAGTATAGCCGCGCGGTTATACTCGGTTTCATTAATGTTTCCAAAAAAAATAGTATAACCACAAATCTCATAAAAAACATGAGTCAATCTCACTCTGAAAAGGTAATTACTAACCAAAATTATCAAAATTTGAGTACCCGGCCCATATTTTTTTTCAAAGCTTTCAAAATGCATTTGTGCTAACTTGGATTCCAAGTTTCTTCCGTTTTGGTGGAGAAATTATGTAATGGTAATGTACTACCACATCAGCTAATAGTACTTCCATTCAAAATAACTTGGAATTTAGCTCAAAATTGGGAATTTAAGAGGGGAAATTAACAATTCTCTTGTTTAGTAACTTAAGCACGAAATTTATTAAATAACACGTGAAAAAAATCATGAAAATTAGGGCATCATAATTCCAAGTTTAATTTCCACCCAAATAGGCGTCATTTCACAATTTTCATAGTGCCATTTAAAAAATTCAACATACATAATCCAAAAACCGAAATCTTCAATTGCCAAAAATTGAAATGATGGAAATCTAAATTCTATCATAGAATTCTATGTAATTTTCAACTCTTTCATCCAAACAGAAGGTTAAATTCAGTCATCTTTCAATTGACCTATCAAAGTGAACAGAAGAATATCCGTACCATGGCTGCTGCTCTCATGATGTGATCAGACAGGTTGTATCTGGATTCCCCTTCCGAATGTTTCCCTGCAAACAGAAACATGACAGTCCAGTTGAAACAAAATCACCCCCTAAGAAAAGTGCAAAAAGTTGAAACTCTAATTGGGGAATTTGATTTTTGGTCGAATCGATGTAATTGGGGATTTTATTTGGTAAATCCAAGATGGGCCCAAGTCTTGCTAGTGTAGTAATGTTTGTTTCATTCTCAGCTTATCTTTTCTGACCAAAAACCAAAAAATGATGTGACCAAATCACCCTTTTGACCCGATTTGTTAAGTGTGTCCAACACCACGGACCTTTAATAAACGGGTTATCGGGTACCCGCAGCCACCGTCCTCTCAGTTTCGTCCGTTTTTGTTTGCCTCAGCCTCAGTTTCGTTAGAGCCGTCCATTCTCTGATTCCGAGTCTTTGAGCAGCTCAACGCAGCCCACCGCGGATTGACGAAGAGTGGGTTGTGCGCATCTGATTTTGCTGCTTCTTATCAATTCACTGGTTCCTTCTTCTTCTGGTAAGTATATATTTCGAAGTCTGATTAGGGTTTTTCAGTCTCCTGTTAGATTTGCAGTTTGGTAGCCAACCCCTTTGTTGAATTATGCACAGAGTATTTTTTGGAGTGAAATTCATGCTATTCAAAATCAAAATTTTATAGGCATGAAACAGAATCAGCTTGTTAGATGAAAATCAAAGACACCATGAATTCTATTTGTTTTTTTTCTTTCTCTGTTATGGGTTTTGTAGCTCTTGCTTTGAATTGTTAGGCATATTTGCTGATTGCAAATTATTTTTTTTGTTTTCTGACAGGATCTTTTAGTTTGTAGCTTTAGATATGGATGACATTGATCATTATAAGATTCTCGGTTTGCCTTCCGGTGAAGAAGGTGCTAAGCTTACAGAAAAGGAGATTTCAAAGGCATACAGAGCAAAGGCTCTTGAGTTGCACCCCGATAAGAGGCTGGATGATCCCGATGCCCATGCCAACTTCCAAATTCTCAAGTCATCCTATGAGATACTTAAGGATGAGAAGGCCAGGAAGCTGTTTGATGATTTACTGAGAGTTAAGAGAGAGCATCAGCGGCGCCATTTGGAGCGCGATTCCAAGCGACAGAAGATGGTCTCTGATCTTGAAGCGAGAGAACGAGCTGGCTTTGCTCCAGATGCAGCTGCCAAAGATAGAGATGAAGAGGAGAGAATTGCTAGGAAGCTTAAGGAAGAGATTGCGAGAATACGTGCCATGCATGCGAATAAAGGGGCGGCAACTGCTTCAGTTCCAAAAAGTGAAAGTAGGGGAGTTGGGAAGGAGAGCGTGGGTGGTGCTAAGCCAGGATTGGATAAGGAGAAGGTGCTTAAAGTTTCTTGGGAAAAGGTTGGTGAAGGTTATACAGCCCAGAGGTTGAGAGACTTGTTCTCCAAGTTTGGTGAGGTTGAAGATGTTGTTATCAAAGATGCTAAGAAGAGAGGTTCGGCCCTAGTCGTAATGACAACTAAAGATGCGGCTGTAAGTATGCCATGACTGTTATGTTTATAATTTCTACTTTGAACTTTTATTTTCTTAATGATGTAGTGACATACCATTGGCGTTATTATTTGTAGGTTGCAGCAACACAAATTGTGATGGGCGACCTTTCTAATCCATTGCTAGTTTTACCTCTTCAACCAGTTGCAGTGACTGATGCTCCACCAGTTCAGAAGTCTGATGAACCTGATCGACTTAACAATTTGATTGGGGCGAGCTATCAAACTTTTGAGGATTCTGTTTTGCAGAAACTCCAAAAGGTTTGACTAGGATTAACTATTCTTCATACCTTATCTAAAGATTGCAATGATCATGCAGAGACTTCAATTTAAGTCACTTGACATAAAGAAAAGTTCCCTCTCTTATTTTTTATTGTGCTCTTGCTGTTGTATTTTTGCAGTTAGATGTCTGTGTTATACAATTTTTGCATCTTTTCATTTTAAAGCAGATATATATATATATATATGTTAAACTGTTAATCAACCGGATCATACACAGACTATTATGCTTGCATGTAGTTATATCGTTAAAACTATGATATATTCTTGTGCTTCAAAAGGGCAATAAGTTGTATGTGCCCACGTATCTGACAGTTGATTTTTAATTTTCAAATTTTGATACTGCCCCGTAGTGAATAGGGAAATAAATTCTATTTTTTTGCTCTGCTTTTTAGTACATCAGTTTTGAGTCTTTGTCTGGTTTTTCTACTATAGGCTGCGCAGAAGCAAAAATAATATTCTAGAAGCATGAAAGGATGATGATCCCAAAAGCACTACAAGATTCACGAACTGAATTCCCATGTACAGGTAAGAATGACCGTTACTTTCATTATTTCATTTTTGCCACTCCCAATTCATGCCAGCCTTTGTCTGGGTCACTTTATTTTCTGAACATAAGAATGATATCCAAATACCTTTTCAAAGTGCATGACAAGCACATTTCAATTGTACATAGGAGCATATGCTTTTGCCAAGCCAACGGTAACACAGACCACGTGGCAAGAGAAGTTTATAAATACCGATGTGATTGGAGCAAAGGTTGCCAAGGCCTTTGAAAGAGTTGCTGGACTTGCATTTCTCTAACCAAAATCATCTATGCTTTTGTGAAAAAGTACAAATAGCCAATCTTTGCATGACTGACTGATATACTCTAATTCTTTGACATGCAGGGAACTGGTGAGAAGTCTCTCAAGTATCAAGATTGTGCATGAGAAGTGCTTTTAACCAGAGATGTTATAAACATGAATTAGTTACTGAGAGATCAAGACTGGCATTGATGTATGCTAACAGTTTACCATTCTCAAGGTTAGGACAGAATTATTTCTGTTGGCCATTTTGAATTTGGTGTATTGGTTATATCCACGGTTGCATCCTGTGCTATTTCACAAATCATTGTACACTCCATATTGTATCAAGTTAATGATTCACTTGGGTTTTCATTTATTTCACTGTTTCATCATTTTATATCGTCGATAAAATTTGGATTCATCACCCCCACTTAACACTGTTTCCTCATCTGTTACGTAGAATGATGGCCGGATGACTTGTGAGATTGAAAAGGTGATCGATGTTAAGTGTTTTGGCATGGCATTACTCTGATACTTTGAGCGTTAGGTTCACGGCCTCTTAGAGCTCCATCGTAGAAGATGTAGCAGAAAAGAAAAAATAAATTATTTATAATAAATATAAATTAAAAAAAACTCAACTCTTTATGTACTGCCAATTGTGGATAGGTGCATGAGTGTTATGGGTGCTTTGGTATATGGAGTCGAGTCAACTCTCTCGGTTTCACTATTTTACAAAAATATTGGAATTTTATTATTACTTTGTCATTTTTAAAAAAAATAAAAAAAAAATGTTATCACTTCGACAATTTCATTAAGAATTTTATATGATAATTTTGGTTTACTAGTCGCGATTCTATGGGAAGGCCAATAGGTTTTGGCACTCATCTCTCATAACTCCAAGAGATTTCTTTCAAGCATTTTAGCAAGGAAATCGAATGTTAATGTTTGTTACAATTCATCTACCACATTTGAAACGAATATGTTTGATGGCTCAAGAATTGGGATCATATCTCACCTTCGTAAGTAATTCTATGTGTCAAATGAATAAAACAAGGTTTGATTGTAAGGTGTATTTGGTGGCGGAGCTATGCTTATACATATCATAATTGTGCCAAATTTTTCTGAATTACTACATAATAGATGTTCATTGATAAAGAAACTAAGGGGGAAGGGGCATGACAACCTCGGATATGCACTTAGCTTAGCTCCCAACCATGCTTGTATGCATATAACCTGTCGTACTAATGTCCAAACAAAGATGTTTGACTGCTCAATAATTGGATGATATATTTCTTTCGCAAATTATTCTCAAGGTTCAAAGGAATGGAATGAGGTCTGGTTGTACGCATATATGAGATCACTATCAACTTTTCAGATGAAGATGTTTGATGACTTCATAATTGGATGATGTACGTTTTATTATGGGATAGTTTTCAAGTGTCAAAAAAATGAAATGAGGCTTGGTTGTATGCAGATTATCTACGGATATTGAGGTATTACGGATAAACAATTTTAATTTTTAAGTGTCAAATGAATGCAAAAGGGGGGCATTCTTGCTATAATTTAAGTTTTTTTTTTCAAGACAAAAATATTATAACAAAATTAACATTTAAAAAGTGAAAAGAAAAAAATTCAAGAAAAATGATTATAATTTTCTGTCTAATAATATTAATCTACATTATTATATAATAAATTATGATAATTTTGTATAATATTTAAACATAGATCGTCCTCTTTGCCTCGTCTCCGCCCCACCAAAACCCCTCATAGCTGTCCTAAAATCCCCCTTTCCTCTCTGCTCAAAACCCCAAGCGTTCAATTCAAAATTCCGTTGCAGAATCAGAACCTCTGTCTCCATTTCAATGGCGGCGAGTGCCTCGTGGCAGCCAAAGGAAGAAGGGTTCGCGGAGATCTGCGGGTTGCTGGAGCAGCAGATTTCCCATTCGTCTTCTTCCGCTGACAAGTCTCAGATTTGGCAGCAACTTCAACACTACTCTCAGTTCCCTGATTTCAATAACTACCTCGCTTTCATTCTCGCACGTGCCGAGGTAATCGTCTCACTCCACTTCCCCTAATTCTGTCTTCATCTCCAATTTCAATCAGTAGGGTTTCTGTTTTGTCTTTTTGATTATGTGATTTGGTTGGATAATGGTCTGATTGGATTGCATACTTAGTTAGAAATTGATAATCGTTTTTTGAGTTGACGGGGGCTTATGGGTTTGGGTTCGATGGAGGTTATGGGTGCCGATGAAGTTGGGATTAGAATCGCTTCACATGGCTGATTGTTCTGATTGTATTTGTTTTCTATTCTATTGACTTTGAGAGCGGTTTCAAGCTGGTGGCACCAGAAAGCCTTAATTACTTAGAATGTTTGTCCACAAATCCTTGTTTATGTCAAATCTATTTGCTGTGCTGGAAAGGTTGGATACTTAAATTTGTAATTGGTAAACTTTGTCTTGCTTTTGATATACCGGAGTTGATCCTGTGGCATGGTAACGTGTATTGTGAAGAAAATGATTTATTGTTTTTGGCTGTTGGTTAACATAGCATAACCAGTTTTCAGCTTCTGGGTGCTGATGGAACTTCGAATTTGGGTAACTTTTGGACAGGGTAAATCAGTGGAGATACGACAAGCTGCGGGATTGCTTTTGAAGAATAACCTTAGAAATGCATATAAACCCATGGCTCCAGCATACCAGCAATATATTAAATCCGAATTGTTGCCTTGCTTAGGAGCAGCAGACAGACACATCAGGTCTACAGTTGGCACCATTATAAGTGTTGTTGTTCAACTAGGGGGAATTTTGGGGTGGCCTGAACTATTGCAAGCTCTTGTAAATTGTTTAGATAGTAATGACCTAAATCACATGGAAGGTGCTATGGACGCATTATCCAAGGTAAACACGATGTCCTAGAGTTTACTGATTAAATTTCCTGATTAAATTTTTGCATATTCCTGAAAGATCCTTTGCTCTTGTAGCTCTTAAAACCAATGGCACAAATCAGAAACTTATTAATTTTTGTGACACCAATGTTGTGATGAAACACAGATTTGTGAGGATATACCTCAACTGCTTGATTCAGATGTACCCGGTTTGCCTGAACGTCCCATCAACATATTCCTTCCAAGGTTACTGAAGGTAATAATGAAATAGCTGTATTGTTTTATAAGTGATCTTGAAGTTTACGTTTTATGTTTAAATAGTTATTCTGCCCCACCCCTATAAGCATAGCTGAACTCTGAAATTTTACTGATGGTCCTTTTTTTCTTTTTGGCCGGGTTTTCTCAACGTGGCTTCACTTTGTACAGTTTTTCGAGTCACCACATTCATCGCTAAGAAAGCTTTCCCTGGGTTCTGTAAATCAATACATTATGTTGATGCCAGGTGTAAGTATATATGTGGAAACCTGTTGTTTTGGTACCTTTTGGACCTTATTCTGATGATTGGGGGTTGTAGCAATTATTTGTTCTATTTGATTGCAGGCTCTATATGCATCCATGGATCAATATCTTCAAGGTTTATTTGTCCTTGCTAATGACCCTTCTTCTGAAGTGAGGAAATTAGTGAGTACTCCATCATTACTTTATCTTATCTGGGTTTAATTCTGAAGATAATAGTATTGCGTGGAAATTGAATTGGATATTCCATTTCAGGTCAAAAAATTTCCGCTCAAAATTAACTTCCATTAACAGTTTAAATTTGTTTTCTATTTGGCTGTAAAATCTTCAATATTCACAAATATGTTATTATTATTATTATTTATAAATAATAATAAAAAGCCGAATTCATTGTTGTGGAAGATTTGTTTCTGAATGCTTGAGTTGCCTAGGATAACCATGACCTGTGTAGTTGTTTTTAAATGGATTATATTGGTTTTTTTTTTCTGTGTTCTTTGCATTGGTCTAAACAGATAATATTATAATCATGACTGGATAATGATCAGTGGGATATTTGAATTGAATTCTTTGTTGCTTTTAAAAAAGTAAATAAAAAGAATCATATACTAAAGAGAAGTTGTAAGGAAGGTGGACAAAGATATCCATCACATTCAGTCTTAGAATCAACAAATAAAGGTCATATTTGATGGGCGCTGAATGTTATTAGATTTAATAATTTTGGCTTTGTTCTCATCTTTTCCCCCCCTTTTCATTGCCAAACAGGTTAGTGCAGCATTTGTTCAGCTAATTGAAGTCCGTCCATCATTCTTGGAGGTAACATCTTGTTGTGTTATTCTAGCCTTGTTCTATTCTGTGCCTTTTTTCATTTGTCTATGTGCTACATGCATTTTGCTGTGTCAACAACAGGGTATAGGACAAAATTGAATTAATCCTGCTTGCACATACCATCATGCATCTTACTGTATATATCTATCTGCATATACACATGTATGCACATACACATGCTTGCATACAATCTTACTCTATGTTTCATATATTTCTATGATCATTGTTTTCTTTATTGTCATCCCTTATCCTTATTGCACTTTTAAGTGACTCATACCTGGTACTGCAGCCACATTTGAGGAATGTGATTGAATACATGTTGCGAGTCAACAAGGACACCGATGAAGAAGTGGCTCTTGAAGCCTGCGAATTCTGGTATCCTCCAACAAATGGCATATACTAATTGAATGTTTTCACCATTAGCTTATGATTCATTAAATAGTTTTCAGATATTGAGTGAATGAATTCGGTTAGTTATTGGGTTCTTCTCTATATCTTTCTATTTAGTTATATTAAAGCCTTTTAATAATTGTGTTACCGAGAGAGGAGAGTTACAATTACATCTTTGGTTTGTACTGCATGCTAAAGTTTGTTATGGAGTTTGAGACTTTAGCCTTGATATAATTAGCCAACACCCAAAATTTGAATGAATTGATTTTACTATAGGAGCTGTCTACAGTTGGATCTTTTGCATCATCGACAGTGATGTGGTTACCAATATATTCTGGGTGCCAAGCATTGCATCTCAGTACTGATTCACACACCAAGTTATATTTGCGGCTATGCGCCATTAGTGAATCTACTTCCTCATAACTTGTCTAAATGGTTATATCAATAGGCTTCAGTGGTGGTGATCAAAGATATGGGTAGTGGAGAATTGATTGTGGTTGTCTACTGTGTTTGGTGAGTTAAGGTGGTGGTTCTTTGACTAGGACTTGAAAACACTTTGGGAAGAAGAGTAATGGATATGTGATATTTACAAAAGTACAACATTCTAGATTAGAGCTGGAATTCCATGAGTGATAATGGCCTCGTCCATTCCCCTCATAAGTTCAAACTGAGCAGGACAATTTTGTCTATTAGAACAGAGTTCACTCCAATTCTTCTAGGAATTTATTATTGTTCACATGGAGCTTGCGTTTGATATACAAATATTGTTTTAGATGTTATGAGTTGCAATTCAGTCCATGTTTTTTCTTAATGCACCAAAGAATTTTTTAATTTTAAAATCACCTTCACATCTGGAAATCATTACTTTAACGTTTACATAGAGGAACATTCTATGACTACCTTTTGTATAAAAGTTTTTTGTTCACAACTATCAAAATGTTGGATGCCATAGCTTATTTCTCACTTTTCATAACTCTGGAGCTACTCTTGCGTGTATATTGTGCTTATTACTTAGAAGATTTCTCCTTGTGGTTGGCATGTTTGTAACTTAACCTCTGTCTTGTATATTAATTTCATTTGACAATCAGTATTTTTACACAGGTCTGCATATTGTGATGCTCAGTTACCACCTGAGAATTTAAGAGAATTTTTGCCACGTCTAATTCCGGTATACCCAATTGTTGATCGTTTTCTTGGTGTGATAACCATACTTACAATGGAATCTATGGAATTTTTTTTAATACAACACACCTGTTTCAACTTCTGTAGGTTTTGTTGTCAAACATGGTTTATGCTGATGATGATGAGTCCCTCATTGATGCTGAGGTTATCTTTACTGGGTCAATTTGTGTTTTTGGGTGATTCTGAATTGCCATTTGTTGTAGTTCGTTATTCATTTGGCATCAATTCATTGTTGCAGGAGGATGGGTCGGTTCCAGACCGTGATCAGGTTCAGACCAATTTTGTTTTTCGTTGTTGGTATTCTCTTTATTTTTGGTATCTTAAGTTATATTCTTAATCTGCTATGCTGATATTGTGTACCACAGGATATCAAACCTCGGTTTCATTCATCACGGGCTCATGGATCTGAAAGTGTGGAAGATGATGTAATTTGCCATATTATTATTTTTCTGTTTATTATTTAAATAGTCTGGTTGATTATTCTGACTCTATTAAATACTACTAAAAAATTTCTGCTTTATGTAGGGTTTAAGTATGAGGGAAATGAGTAGAATATCTTTTAAATGACATGATTTGGGATAATGACAGGATGATGATATTGTCAATGTATGGAATTTACGCAAATGCAGTGCAGCAGCTCTCGATATCCTGTCAAATGTGTTTGGGGATGAGATTCTCCCAACGCTGATGCTCTTTGTTCAGGTTATATAGACTTATTTGGCATTAAAGTGAAAGCATTGGTCGTTAAGATTTTATACTTTTATTCTTATAAAAAATATATTTGTTTCTTTTTCATCCTCCCATTTTCTCTGAAAGAATTGAATGATTTAGAAGATTATATGGACAGTTCTATCCATTAGAGGATTATGTAGATCTTCAAAGTTGAAGTAACACGGTTTCCCTTAGAACATTTCATGTTGGATTACGTAGCTCTTTAAAGTAGGAAGTTGCATCGTTCTCCTTGGAAAATTATGTGTCGCATGCTGATTTCGATGTTTTGGGTTTTCTTAAGTTACACATATACTATGCATGTTCATGTAGTTTGTTTACTTGGCTATCTCTTCAAGATGTAGTTTGAAAAGCTTGCTCCAAGTTATGTGACATGCAACAGGAAAAATATCATGTGTGCTCTGTATTTGTGAATGTTCTTTTGAGGATTAGGTCAGCTGAAGAAGATACTCTAATTGTGTTGTGAGTATCCAACATTGAAAGATGGAAGCCATTGGTGCTTAAAAGATCTTGGGCCTCTCTACCCATTCCAAATTGGTTTTGGGTTGGATAATATGGTATCAAGCTGGTTATCCATGTGGTAGGCCTAATGGTCCCACGTCACCCAATAAGAATTGTCTTTGTGTTTGGTGCAAAAGATTCCACATAGAAGGGGGTTCATTGATTGTATCCTACATCGAAGGATAGAAGCCTAGCATAAGTGCTTTAAAGATCTTGGGCCTCTTCAACCCATTGCCAATTGATTTTGGATTAAATGCTCATATTCTGATAAATAGAATTGCACTGCTGCTCCAGTAACCTGATGGGTTGACCTTGCTAAGTAGTAATAATGTTCCAGAATGGACATGTAGAAAATAGGGCTATGTGGACCTGTTTCTCTTTGAGAGGGAAATGAAGGAAACAGAATTAGTTAGTTATTAGAATTGTATGATTTGATACAAGTCAATACTATTAGTAAGATTCTTTCCCCTGTAAGTTACTGAACAAGCCTTAGCTAAAGGTCTATTATGTTGAAGAATTTTTGCTCTGCTAACCGGTACTCCTGTTTCAAATAAAAGTTTTAACATCTCAAATATCTGCAGACCAAGTTGGCCACCAGTGAGGATGAAACCTGGAAAGAAAGGGAAGCTGCTGTTTTGGCACTTGGTGCCATAGCTGAAGGTTGCATTAGTGGTCTTTATCCTCATTTGACTGAGGTAATCCCTTGTGACCTGTTTTTAATTTTTGTTTTGTTTTTGGGATGAGAACAAAACTTTTATTGTCATAAACTTCAATTGGTACAAGAATTCCTTTTCTGTAGTACACTCAAATACAAACAAGATTAAAAAAGAAACAGCCTCAGAACAAAACAAAAGAGAAGCAAGCTAACTAATAGCTGCCTTCCAGTTCAACAATACAGCAGACACGCTCACCCCTAAAATCAGTAGAAAACGCCTGAAGAGATGACAAAACAACAGGCCTATCCCCCACCCTTAAACTTAACCCCTCTGTGATCTGCAAAAGTTTGTCTGTCCTTCTCCATCCATAGAACCCAAATGACAGCCAGTATTCTGCATTAATGGTCTCTATTTATTATATATCTTGCATGCTAGGTTGCCACACTGTAAATTTGGACCACACTTTCAAATATGAATCTACACAATCAATGGTCCATATTGACAATTCAAAAACTGTCTAGCTGGAGAAAACATTTCTCATGCAGCCTATATATTTGCGCAAATAACCAGCAAATAGAGTTTTTTGCTATTAGATTGCTCTGTGTACACTATCTAAATTCTGTGCTGAATTATTCAAGTAAAAATTAATTATTCACATTGCAGATTGTTGCATTTCTAATCCCTCTTTTAGACGATAAGTTTCCACTTATACGGAGTATTTCTTGTTGGACTCTTTCTCGTTTCAGCAAGTTCATTGTTCAGGTATTTACACATTCCTATGTCTTTACTTTCTTGTTCAGGTATATCAATTTTGCTATTTCTATGGAACTGACATTCTTTTTTTCCCTTACTCATGGTTGACCAAGAAGTGAAAAAAAGAAATTTGGAGAGCACATGTTTTCTAAAAAGTGATTTCGCATTTTCATGCATTGAAATTTATTCCATATTTCATTGTTGAATATATCACTTTATCTTTATATAATCTTTGTGAAGCCTTTTTCATTTTTTGCATAATTGTAAATTTTGTATTTTTATGTGACTATCTAGGTTAGTGCTATATTTTGATCCCCCACAGAGTATCATTCATCGGCTCTGTAGAGTTTTATGCTTGCCTGTTCTTCTTCAGGGTGTCGAACATCAAGTAGGTTATGAGCAATTTGACAAGGTTCTTGTGGGTCTATTAAGAAGAATATTAGATAATAACAAGCGGGTACAAGAGGCTGCTTGCTCTGCTTTTGCGACACTTGAAGAGGTTCTTATATAAATGCAGTCTAATTCTTTCAATCAATGTTATTTGACTATTACATATCTGGTTTTAAATACTGATCGTTTAAAAGCTGCAGGAGGCAGCGGAAGAGTTGGCACCACGCTTGGAAATGATTTTACAACACCTTATGTGTGCTTTTGGGAAATATCAGGTTTCTGCGAAGCCTTTACCAGAGTTCCTCCAGTGTGAACATGAAGAGATGAAACACTGATTATTCCCATTCTTTAGTTTATTATGATTAATAGTTTTGTATTGTTATTCAGAGGCGGAATCTCAGGATTGTATATGATGCTATAGGAACTCTAGCAGATGCTGTTGGTGGGGAGTTGAATAAGGTATTTTCCTTTCCTGTCATCTCTGTTTTCTTCCCTCAAAACAAAATAAATAGTTTTTAAGTCATGAGTATAGAGTTTATCAGATGCAGCAATTATGATAAAACAATTTGTGCCAATTGACTGTAGTTTGCTTTTCAGCCCACTTATCTTGAAATTCTGATGCAATGGCTTTGGTTTGCAGCCTGCATATCTTGAAATTCTGATGCCACCATTAATTGCAAAGTGGCAACAACTTTCAAATTCAGATAAAGATCTCTTTCCATTGCTAGAGTGCTTTACTTCTATATCACAGGTACATATTGCTGTTTTCTTTCAGTCGTCTTCTTATTTGTTTTTGTTTTATTTTGTATGTGTGCAATTTAAACCACTACCTGTGTATATGGTAGTAGTAAGGCACAATGGAAAGGCGAATGTAACACTCATTATTAGCATTTAGTAGTTGAAATTTTGATACATAATGTGGTTAGGAACGGCATGGTTAGAATGTCAGTGCCATGAATAAGACTCTTTCGCCCTTCAGAAGAAAAAGAGAGTAAGCTCTCTTGGTTTTGGGAGCATTGTCTGCCAGTAGAGTAACTGAAGTACATTTTATTGCTGTTCTTGTTATAGTTCCTTCTTTGCACCCGTAACATATAATATGGCAAGACTTAATTTCCATGTCTGTTCTTGAATCATGTTAGACTGCTGCCACCACATTCATTTCTATTCCTGTGACATATATTTGTTCTTTGATATCGTTGTTTTTTTGGCATGAGGACTTCATGAGTTGCAGCCTGAAATAACACAAATGTGAAAAAAATGTTAAGTGCTACATGCAGTGGGTATAAAAATTTAAATTTGTTTGCTTATTTTCAGGCTTTGGGTGCCGGATTCTCTCAATTTGCTGAGCCTGTATTTCAGAGGTGCATAAGCATCATCCAGTCCCAACTACTCGCGAAGGTTCAATCCTGGTCTTTTGATTGTTCATGAATTATGTGACAAGATTGAACCCTTTTATTATTTATTACAACCCCCTCTCCCCTGTATAAGGTTTCAAAGATAGGAGTAATAGCTTTCTTGCTTTCAAGTCATAGCTTAGTTTGCATATCTTGGAATTAGAGACATTTGTATTATTGATCTCTGTATCAATGTATCAGTAAAATGCTTACTTTAAAAAATGTAACTAATATTCCTGAAGTTTATCTTTTATACCCTGCATAGATAGTGCCCATTGGGATTACTTCAATATGTCCGCTTCTGGAAACTATAAAAGCCCAAAATGTTCTCAAGTGTCTCATTGTATTCTATATAACCACCTTTGGAATTTTGAATATCTGTATTGCTAGTATTTTTTTTCCCTTTTCCTTTCGGGGGGGCAGGAAACATATATTTCTATAAAAGAGATAACAAATATTAAGCTACACCAACTTAAATCACATATTACACTAAAAGGTAATATCCCTAAAAATGTGCCTTCAATTACCTGTATCATAAAAAAAATTCACACCCGTCGTACAAGTTTTCAAAGTTTGTATGTAGTCCATGTCCATCTGGGTGCCTCTAATGTAAGAAATTTCTCTGGACTTCTTTTGCAGGCTGATCCTGTTTCTTCCGGGGTGCCATATGATAAAGAATTTATTGTATGCTCTCTTGATCTGCTCTCTGGACTTGCTGAAGGTCTTGGCAGCGGGATAGAGAGCTTGGTATTTTCCTTCTCCAATTCTTTATAGAGAAAAGATATATCATTATTGAATGCTCTTTGTCTTAAATATTTATTTTCCAGAATAGGCCCCCCCCTCTCTCTCTAGAAAGCAAGGGTTTGTAAGCAAGGGTTTGTGCATTGGCCTATCTGACAGTTCATCAAAAAACCAATGCAACATCTCCTTTGAAAATTACGTGGAATCCACTCATTACATAGCCCATACTGCCCCCTTTAATGCTTTAGCCTCTCCCATTGTCAAATTACTATATAGCTTGCATATTGAAATGTGTTTTCATGTTTCTTATTTGCTATCCAGGTTTCACAGAGCAATTTGAGGGACCTGCTTTTGCAATGTTGCACGGATGATGCTCCAGATGTCCGACAGAGTGGCTTTGCATTACTTGGGGATCTTGCAAGAGTAAGTTGAGAATTTATCTGTCAAATGATGCGCAATCTGGGTTCCTGTCCCATCCTTGATATTCGTGCAAAATTTGAGAGCTTATTAAATTCTCCAAAAGAAATAGATAACACAATGCCACAAGGCTAGTGTAGTGGAAGCTACTAAGAGCTGTTAATTTATCAGTGAATTTAGTTTTTCATGCCTAACCGTTGTCTTGGCCTTTATTTTGAGTAGGTATGCGCAGTTCATTTGCGACCTCGTTTGCCAGAATTTATTGATGTGGCAGCCAAGCAACTGGTATGTAAAATTTTCAGTATTGCTTTTTTGGGTTGAATTCAGTATTGCTTTTAGCAGTCATGATTTATGTGATATCTTGTTGTACAGAATACTCCTAAGCTGAAGGAAACTGTTTCAGTTGCAAATAATGCTTGTTGGGCCATTGGAGAGTTAGCAGTGAAGGTAAACTTTCAATGAAGTTGGCTAGATATAAAATTTAAATTGTAAAGCTTCAGCAGGGGCTTTTTCATTTTTATGACTTGAAATTGTGTGGTTGCTTGCGCTCTTTTTAGATGATCACCATGATCAGTTCTTGTTGTCATTGTGTAAAGGGACAAGATGGAGCAATATAAAATCTTGGTGGGCTCAACTTATTTATCAGGGTTTCCATCATTTAATTGATTTAAGAGCAGTCCTTTATTTTTCTAGGTGCCCTTCCAGATGTTGTGAAATTTATTAATTGTCTGTTCTCTTTTAAGTAAACACAAGCCAATTTGGTGTTGTGAGCAAACTTTTGTTATCAACACATACATATACACCTGCGAGTGTCTCTGTTTGTGTCCTGTATTGGTTTGTGCATTTTTTTGGTTTCTTGTGTTTCTCTATTCCTTGTTACTTAGTGACTTAAATATTCTACTTTAATTGCTTGATGATGGTATCATGAAAGTAACTTTGAATTTCAGGTTCGTCAAGAAATTTCTCCAATTGTTTTGACGGTTATCTCTTGCTTAGTCCCCATCCTTCAACACGCAGAGGTGATTTTTTTTTTCCCCATTATAATTGTAACATGTACCTTGGAGGAGGTGTCATCTTTTAATTGCATCTCTTGATGCCGAGCAGGAGCTCAACAACAAGTCACTAATTGAAAACAGTGCTATCACACTTGGGAGGCTTGCGTGGGTCTGTCCAGAGCTTGTGGCTCCGCATATGGAGCATTTTATGCAATCTTGGTGCATTGCTTTGTCAATGTAAGTTTTATACATCTACATTTGAAGTAGCAATATATGCTTCCTCATAATGCTTATTACGTTTTCACCGCTATACGTTGTTTCTGACATGCAATTCATCTCACAGGATACGTGATGATTTTGAAAAGGAGGATGCCTTCCGAGGTCTCTGTGCTTTGGTATGCCTCTGCGTTCTTTTCCTTTCTTTTTTTTCATCGTACATTCCACATGTATACCTATTTACACTCTCGCTTGGATTTTCTCAAATATTTCAGGTTAGAGCCAATCCATCTGGAGCATTGAGTTCGCTCATTTTTCTGTGCAACGCTATTGCAAGTTGGCATGTAAGAATCATGCTATACTCATCTGTGGATTTTACAAAGTGTTCGTGTTTTTTTGTACAAGCTCAAAGTTGTGATTTGCCATGTTTTATAGGAAATAAGGAGTGAAGAGCTTCATAATGAAGTTTGCCAGGTGTTGCATGGTTATAAGCAGGTTAGCGTTGCGTTTATTATGTAGCATCCTTGAGAGTTCTAATAATTTTCTGTGTGTAAACCTTGAGATTATGAAAATGTTTTGATAACTCTTTTTGAAATAAAACACTCAAACAATATTAAACTCTGCCGAAAATTAGTAGGTTATTGGGGTGGGGGTGAAGTTTTTCATTTCAAGATAACTGGTGCAAAATAAGACAAGATAATTTGATTTACTTGTTTGAAATGTGCAACCCTGCAGATGCTTGTGAATGGAGCATGGGACCAGTGTATGTCTGCTTTGGAGCCACCAGTGAAGGACAAGCTGTCAAAATACAGAGTGTAATATTGTACCCATAGCTGATTTATTGTACCTGCTAGTTCTCTCTCCTCTATGTGCTCATACATATTTGCGTCTACACTATTTCCATTGCGTTGTGGTCATGAGTTTTACAAGCAAAGTCCAAATTTTTGGTCCCTAATTTTTAAGCGGAAGCTTTGTTGTCGACTCAAACGAAGCTTGAAGTTAGCTTTCAACTGGTCCATAAAGTGCATGACCTGACAAATGAAGCAGCGTAGGCTTGGGACAAGAGTGGTGTACAGGGGTGCAGCTTCCCAAGCTTTGAGGGTGTGTTCGTTCTTGTTGTCTTGTATTTAGAGAAAGGCAAGAAGTATCTCGTTCAAGTCTTGGATCAATTGATTTTTTATGTTAGATTTAGAGTTTTGCATTATTCAACAATTCCAGTGATTAGGGTTTGTACCTGTGATTTTCACAGATTTTGTACAAGGGAGGTTTTGGCATTTAGTTATAAGAATTTTCCTTTGTTTCGTATATGGTTCAAAATCTGTAAACCTTTTATTTGGGGACGGAGCAAAGTTACTCTTGCTGTGCTAAGCAGCTGTGGTATTTGAAACCTTGTGTCTCACGAATTGATTGAAATTGATTTTATGTTTGGAAAAATAACAAGCAATCTTTACCCGTTTAAACTTCGATATAACCTTTTATCTACATGCAAAGAATAATTTGAAAACTAGCCGCTTGTTATTTGTTAGTTGGTTCTTAAACGAAAATATTTTTTGGTGAAAAAAACTCTAGGGTGAGGGAGGGCTATCCCATCCCAAGGTCAGGGCATGCCAAATCCTCTTCAAAGACTTATAGAGGGGGTTTTAGTTCTTTTTTTGGTTTTTTCATATTATCCGCAAAGAGGGATTGTTATCAGCGGGACTCGAACCTAGGCCTTGATGGCAAAGAAAACAATCCTTACCAATTGAACCAACCCTCATTGGTGTTCTTAGATAATTTCAACCCAACTCAACCAATTAGAAAGTGACAAGAGGCAATTTTGAGTTTTTTCCTTCTCCAAATAGGCTCTATAGGGGTTTTGTATATTATGTCATGTCAGAATTGACCTATTTGTGAAAAGCCCTAATTTGAAACAATTACATGATGGTTCATTCAAGCTAAAAAATCTTTCAATTGAATGTATTTAAATTACATGCAATGAATAATTTGAAACTTATTTTTCTGTGTTTTTATTATATATTTATATGAATTGTAATATTTTAAACAAACAATTTAATCTTGTGACATCATTTAAAACGCTAAATTTGGAATCACAACATTTAAAGTCACAAGTGTAACCTTATATCCGTCATCTGATCAGCTTTGGTTATTGGGATTGCAAATTTTTTTTTATGGTTGGGATTGTTTGGCTGGGTGGTTACCAAAATAAATTAGCTTCTAATGGTTTAATTAGCCATCACATGCATATAGAAAGGACTGTCTTAACGAACCACGGGCAGCACGATAAAGCACAAGATTAAGCTGAAAAGCTACTCGTCATCATTTGGTATTATGCTGCAGTTTGGGCAAGAAGTACACAAAATAGTGAGGGTTATGCATTCAAATAGAGGCAGATATTTCTAGCCATGCCTGTAATCACTAGCAGGGGCTTGAATCTAACAGCAGAGCTCCATTGTACTTCTGGTAATAATCTTTGATTACGGGGTTCGCCTGAGAATCAAAGCCAACAGATAGCTGAGGGCAGAGTCAGTTGATGAAAGTGCCACAATGAGTAGCGCCACAAGAACAAGAGTCAGACTAGCAGTCTTCAGCTGCACGAAACAATAAAACAACCTCAGATTGTAATCGCATTTGTACCCCATGAAAAATGACCAAATAAGCATCCACAGGTTGACTTAAAATTCTGCAAATTCACAACACAGGATTCATAATTTTACATCTTTATAGTGTACTATACGTTTTTGCACATACCGTGCTACGGAAACCTGGCCATTCAATGTACTTCAGCTGACTAGGCTGCTCAACCAGAAAAATGAATAACGATCTCAAACCCCTAAAAATGGAGAAAAACAATAAAACATCACTCTCTTAATCACATATAACTGTTATTCTTATGCAAGTCCACCAACTGGGGATCCGAATTATCAAAGGCCTATTGACAATTTTATGATCTGAGAGGGACAATTACCACGCTGCTTCTTTGACAAGACTCAAAAAGTAGGGATCCTGAGGTAAATCATCATCAAAGCTCAATTGACGATGATCCCTCCGCACAGATGCAGCACATATGGTGCCAACACGACGTGCAGGCAAATATTGAATCCCTCCTTTAACAGCCTGCAATAACAAAACCCTAATCCTGAATAAGCGAGCATCTAATAGATAATTGGACACAAAATATGAATTCTAAAACAAAAGATAAAATTACCCTTCTAGACGCCATTGAAATGGAATCGTAATTATCAATTTTGGCCCCATTATATTTCCTGATTCCAAATGGCAGTTTAGCATGACCGGAATTATGAATCAAACCTACCATGGAGTAGGGAAAAAGTTGAGTAAAAATTGAGCATCACAACATGGAAAATGTAAATGGAGTAAAAATTCCAATAAAGTAATATCCACGAGAAGAGTGAGGGGATAGTAACCTGAACAGTTTGCCACTGACTGCGAAACAGCCCCCATCCTAGGTCAAAATAAATGAACAGCATGAGAAATTATACACACACATATATAAAATACCAATAGTGCAAGCTGTTTCAAACAATGAAGCAATTGTCAAAGAAAGAAGCCATGAACAACATATTATTATATAGACAATCCCAACCCAAAATAAATCAAGTAAAGAAGCCAATTATGGTTCAGCTTAAGTGGGAACAAAATCATGTCAGTTCCTCATCCTTCAACTCAAAAAACCCACCTAAAATTTTCAATTGGGTCTTATTTTCATTAGCAAATTCTTAGCCAGCCCCAACCCACCTAAAATCTTCTGTAAATAAATCTACGAAGTTGCCATCCCATGAAATGTAATAACTTTCAGTCATTTTTCAAGCAAAAATTCATTCTTTTTTACTTTTTTTCTTTCTTGGGATTTATATACATACAATAAATTCATGAAGCACAAAAGAAAGGCTAGAGCTTTGCGACACAACTTCAAAAACGCACCGTCGCGTCATATACAAAGTGAGAAAGAAGTGGTGGTGCTAACCTGCTCGGCCTGGTCGCTTTGGTTCGCGCGCGCGCACAGTCGTACAGAGAGAGAAGGACGAAGGGAGAAAACCAACGACAGCGGGACTGCCACCGTTTCGTTTGGCCTCGAGTCAAAGCGCAGCGTATTGAATATTGATTACTGAGGGCAAAACAAAATCTTTTGTGAAATAGTTCATTTGAATCAGGTGGATTATTACTTATACACCTGACATCAATGTATAGTTTTATGTCAATGATTATTTGGTCTAGTGACCTCTAATCCTCATTTTATTGGAAGAGATTCCGGGTTCAAATGTCAATAACTACAGTTGCTGAATTAAAAAATAATAACAATTGTCCAAATATTAGCATTATCTTTTGCTGATGATAAGTGACAGTGGAAAAGAGAAAGGAAAGAGTTAATATAATGCGTTCCATCCTTACATTGTCATAACTCACAAGTATTTGTTAATTTTCTTGTTACCCTTCCTTTGTTGAATTCATAAGAAAATATTTAGACTAAAAAACAAAAGAGAATTGAAGTATTGTTTTAGGCACATTTCTTAAAGTTTAAGCAAGGTGCAACATGACTTCTGTACGCCCAAGAATTAGGTGACATTCAAACTCAAGAGATGAATGGTCAATTTTTAGGGCTTTTTTTGGTTTGCTATAGAAACGAGAGATTCGAATTTCAGACATCCAAAATGTGAAGAAAAAAAAAACTGTTAGACTAACAATTACCATAAATAAAATCCTAAAGTGACAGGACAGACAATTGATTTGTTTTTTTATTTTTGTTTTCCTCCTTCAGGGATTCTTGAATTTCAACTTCAATTTTTCAAAGTGGCCGGCCTGCCTTGTTCCAACTTCATTTCATTGTAATCCTCACTACAAGAAAAAGGATCCTTGTCCACTTTCACTAACACTTGATTTAAAAAGAGTTAGGTAACTAACAACTATAATCTCACTTGTCTTTGTCATACAATTTTTCCTTACCTTCTAAGCCACCATATTGAAATCATGTAAATAAGTGAAATGTACACCTATTTAGTTAAGAGAGTAATATTCTCTAATCAAAATTAGATCCTACGTGTTGACATGATCTCACTTGATCAACAATTATAAGGTACTTTCAAGGCCGTTGCCATAGGCCTGAAATGGTTGTGACCCGCAAGTTTCAGAAACGTCTTTGAAGTCCACATGAAACTTACAAAACTATGTATGGTAAGCTTTTAAGATGTTGCCCCAAAAGATACCAAGTCTAGCTACGCCACTGGGTACTTTGGTCACACAATTAGGCAAGAACAAACTACCCTTAGTTGATAAACAATGTTTAATATGTTACAAATGTACTTGCATGTGTGTGTGTGCGCGCGCGCGCGCGTGTATCTTGGTCTGGCTGGCATTTTGTGCTGGGTTGGTTGGTTTCATATGGAAGGGAACAGTTGTATCTTTTTTCTTACCAAATGCCCCATAAAGCTTATAATTAATAGGAAGACTAGTTATAGTTATGCCTTGTATAATGGAAATTTGAAACCAAAATCAAAAGCCAGCAGAGACTTTTGTATACATTTCAGTTTTAAATTCAATGCGAAACACATAAGAAATGTGGTGGTTGGAGGAACTGATGCTGATTGTGATGCTGGGCTGCTGCCATTTCTATTCTGTCCCATTTCTCCTTCCTCTTGATTTCTGCTTGGTGAGCTTTGGATTCTCTGAGCTCAATTTCTTCAAGGCACTTGGAGTGCAAAACTGGATCCATTTCTTCTAGCATCACCTTCACGTTTTCTGTCAATTGTCGGACGCTTTTGCTCCAGTGCCACTTTAAGTTCTTCTCCATGCCTTCAACCACAACCGGAAACACTTCCTCCATTGCCACCGATATCATCTTTACGAACTGCTCGTTGTTCCAAACGTAGAGCGCTCGCTCCGCTACCTAAATCCAAAACAAAACAAAATATAGCACTTGTTAAGACCATGATGGTAACAATGTGACATGTACTTTCAGAATTCTCTATGGAATTTTGAAGATTGCAGAAGATTATAGTACTTACCAATAAATGCAGGACCCTAAAGCTAAAACTAAAGCTATGTAAAACTTAAATATGAATTCAAAGCATAGCAGGATTTCAAAAGGCTTTTACAGGGAAAATTTTCATTCTTGGCAGCCATCAGCATACAGTTTAATTGTACCAGTTCAAGCATGGAAAAATGATAGGTATTCAATTTTTGAAGGATTTGTTAATGAAGTTCTGTTTGTTTGCTAAGAAAGCATAGGAAAAAGAAGACAGATTTGGATTCTTGATATCTGATTGGAAAGTTGGCAAGCCAGAAGAAAAAACCATGTACCTGTGAGTTCCAACTGTTCAAGCATCTTGTTATCTGGAGACATAAAGGCAGGGCTAACTTCCTATATTGATCAGGGTCAATATTCTCCACCAGTTCCTCCAATTCCCCAATCAGCAAAACCTCCTTCTGGCAATTAGTCACAGGCCAATACCTCAAAATCCCTCTAACAACAATCCCACCAAGCACAGGCTCCTTCTGCACAAACTGAGACACACAATAAGCCAGCTGCCTATGGTAAGCTTGCATCCCCTTGGTCTTGTGAAAAGGAATAAGCACCCTCATCAAGAACAGCTTGTGCTCTTCTTTTAGTGGAACTGTAAAGCCATTGATGATGCTTCCCCATATCTCAAGCAACTCTCTAATCCCACAATGCCTCTCTGTCTCAAACACATAGTGCAAAAACACATCGTTCATCGATTTCCTCATGAACGAACGGTAGAATGTGAATCTGGAATATATTCTGTGGTACACATTCTTCAAACTATCACGTTCCCTCGGGTCTTCTGATTGGAACAAGGCAAGAAGATTGACAACAAATTGGTTATCAATGTAACCTCTAAGTAACTTAGGATCTGTGTTGATCACGAGCCGGATGAGGATGTCATAAACTAACTGCAGGTGTGACCATAATGGGGAAAAGGTAGATGTGTGGTCTTCATCATCCGGGAATTCTGCAGCACTGGAGGGATTGGAAGGAGGAGGGAGAGGCCTAAAGAGGTTCAAAGATATCATAGAAATGAGAGATGACATAACTTGATCATGCAGAGGCTTCTTTGAGGATTTTACCACAGACAGAAGGTGCAAAAGCTTGTTCCTTTTGAGTTCTTGTTGTGTGGCACATTCACTTGGATCAGTGAAGGTGAAGACAAAGGTGCAAAAGGAAATAGAAGAAAGAATTTCCTCATTTTCCAGGTTGGAAGAAGAAGAACACCCAATATTGGCGGTGCCAGTCTTCTTTCCATTAGTACCAGTTGCAGTCTTTGAATCAAGATCAAAGAGGTGTTGAAGGGTAGTTGATTTTCTCCTTGGCGAAGCTCTTGGTGTGTTGTTTTGAACACCCATTTTTCTTCTCTCTCCCTTTCTTTTTCTTCTAAGCTTTTTCTCCCTCTATCAGCCTATGCACTTTATGAGCCTCATATTGTTTATGAAAGTGTGTAATTGGTCATAATTTTTCCACTAGCTGCTGAAACAGAGAACACTTAGCTATTTCCTATAGTTCTGTTTTTTACTTGTTTAGGCTCTTAATTCTACCATATAGGCCAAAAAGCCAGCGGTGTTATATAGACAAGAAAGTGTTGTAATATCCGTTCAATAACAAAGACTGCAATTTTAACAGAAACCCAATTAGCTGGTGAAGTAAGGTTGAAAGCAAATACATCTTTCTTTGTTCTTGCTCCTCATCTGTGTGAGTGCCACGTGGATTTTGCCTGGTTTTTGTAAGTTGCAGACATAACAGCTTTTGGCAACTCATAAGAGAGGATGTTAGAAACATGACAACAATGTCATAAATATTAGTCAGGTTCAGCTTGCATGTGCCTCACCAACCTATCGGCCACCGCATTTTGAGTGGGGGGCCCCAAATTGTAAAATGCAAGCCTCACTTAGTAGGCACCATCCAAGGGACTGTTTGGCAAGCATATCACATCACAAAAACCATCCAAATTGTTCATTGGGTTGGCATTTCATTAGAGAAAATGAGCAGAACCTGAGTTATTAAGCAATGGGATAATGGCTTTTTTTATGAGGACGATAATTGTCAAATCGTTTGCCAACGGGTTCTGTGGTCTCAAGTTTGAATCCCAGTAACACTTTCCTTTTCCCTTCCAAACTTTGACCCCAAAATAATGTCACAAGTTTGTTTGTTTTGATGCAAGATTGAGAATTTTGTTTAGGGACCTATTATTTGCACGGCAAAATAGTTTTTTATATATTTTAATTGAAGAATTGAACAGGCATAAGAAGCACCATCAGATATAAAACCTGCCAATTAATGTGTCAGCTTAAGCTCTGGTCCAAAGAAATGGAATATGTGTCAAGCATGAACTAAAAAAACAAGACAAAAATCCAGAACCAAGAATTAACTATCTTAAAATCCTAGAGAGCTTATCGTCTCTCTTGGCCATAAAGACTGAGAGATGTTCAAGTGGTGACGGCAATGGTGATCAAATTTTGGCTCATTGGTTTTCTCACCCTTATCAATGTTCAAATCACAGCAAAACCACATATTTTATATGCATAATGTATGCATGAGATAGATTTCAAGAACTAAGTAAACGGACAAAAACAAACTAGGATTCACAGTTCAGAGACAACTAATAATGTCAAAATACCAAGATGGCTACTAGAATTCATGAAATCCAAGGTTCGTTACACTGATGATCTGGAGCATGGATATCTGGAAGGTCAGAATTCATGGAGAAATTAAACCATCTCTTTCTTTTTGTGTACTCAACACAAGGCTGCAGAACAAGCCCAATGATCACAGCAGAGATGCTTATAGCCATCACCTTTGGAGAAGCAAGAGCTAAAACTACAAAAATTAACAGTGTCGGAGGAATGCAGATCAAAATCGCTCCGGCAGTACCAACAGGTATCTTAAACGGCCGCGATGCAGCTGGGTGTTTCATCCTCAACTTCACAAATGCAATGAATTCCATAATCATTCCGAAGCAATACAAGTAGTTCTCCGCGGCTACGATCTCTTGGAAGCTCAACCACGAGAGCAAAATAACGCCCGATGCAGAGAATAAAATTCCAACAAGAGGAGTACCATGACGAGATCTTTTGGCAAAAATTGAAGGAAGCATCCCACGTTCTGCCATACCCAGAAGTTGAAAGGAGTCGCTGCTCATTTCAGCCACAAACATACCCATGTTTGACAATGCAGATGCTGCTAGGACCCAGAATCGTAACCATACACCTCCAAGCATTTTAGCAATGTCTGCGAAATAACCATCAGACCACAGATCACGATCAACTGGAACAGCTCCAGTACCGATCAGAAGGGGGAAAATGTATCCAAACACAACCAAGATAAGAGCATAAAAGAGAGCTTTCGGAAGAGTTGTACCGGGGTTTTCCACCTCCCCTGAGAGAGTACTAATGGAATCCCAGTAATTAAGATTCCAGAACAGAGTGTTCAAATACAAAGTCCAATTTACGCTGTCCAGATTTACCAAAAACCACCTGGAAGGATTTAGCTTGGGGATTGCTATAAATCCCATGAATATGAAAGGAAGAAGTGAAAACACCCCCAGCAAGATAGCAGCCCAACCCACTATTGTTAAACCCCTGTAGTTCATGTAAGTGAGAATCGCAGTCAAAACCAACACTGAAATTGTCCTTGGCAGACCACTTTCCAAAGCTGGAATTGCTGATTTCAGATAGTCCAGAAACAGAACAGGGTAAAGAGCATTATCAATTACCCCACTAAGCCATTTCATCCAACCTTGCTGAAAGCCCCAATATGGACCCAGAGCTGATGAGACCCAAACAACATACCCTCCATTCTCAGGGAACATAGTACCCATTTCTGCAGTTATCAAGGCCTCTGGAACACTCCATATGATTGCAAAAACCAGAAAACCAAGAAGGGCTAAAAGGGGACCGGCTGCCTGGACACTGTCTTCGATGCCAAATGGCCCTCCCGAGACCTCATAGAAGATCAAGAATACAAGAGGTATAACTGAAACCTTCTGGTACTTCTGCAAGTTGTGAGAGGACCCTTCCCCCAAACCAACATACTCAGGAATATTGTTGTCCAACATTTTAGCATTACTTTGCTTAGCAAGTGAGTTTCTATGTTTCTGCATTCAACAATAGAAAAGCACGGTTTTCAAGATTTGGAAAGTTCAAATTGGAAAAGGAACAGAAAATTACAGTATAAGGGTACCCATCAAAGAGAAAACCAATTCAATTCACCAATCACTATGATAAGAAGCTTACTTTGTTCCTAGTAATCAGCAAGCTATTAAATTGCGTAGCATAAATTTTCAATTCAAAACCAACAACTTTCCCGATTAACCCTGACCAATCCGTGCACACCTAACCAGGAGTATTTCATTGAACTTCTCTTAAAAAGTTTAACAAAACTCTACAGAAAGCGTACTCCTTTACCATTTCAGAATCGTATTTTATTGGGCAGAAGATCAAATGTTTGTTCAGTCTTTGTCATGCAACCAAAGTAAGATTCTTTACGCAAATCACAAAGGAATCATCTCAAATCAAGAAATTTTATAGCCACACAAAAAATACAGGCAAATCGGCACAAGAAACACAAACACAAAATACCCACTAAAACTAGCAACACAAATTGATCAGATAAACCAAATAGCAATGTGGGTTCTCTCAAAACAGCCATAAAAACCAAATCTACCTTCCCAATTGAGCCAATTCCAAATCAACAAAGGGTTCAAGGAATCAATCAAAAGAAACCCAAAAAAGTACCTCTTTTTTGGCTTAACGATCCGTGACCGATTTCAAGAAAATTCAGTAAAGAAACCAAAAAGAAGCCAAAAGGGTTTGTTGTACATAAGAAAAGTAAAGCAAATGTAAAAAGCAAACGAGTAATGAAGAAGAAGAAGCTAACCATGAAAAGGAAGAGATAAACTGACAAACTACTGTGGATTTGCGGTGCTACCGATGCGTCATAATGTTAGCGAAGTGACTCTCTTTGTGTCCACCACCACGCGTCTATCTCAGCGTCCACCCACGAGTCTGCTTCAGCCTCTGAGTGAGGAGAGTTTTGCATTGCCGACGCACTTGGAGAAAAAGAAAAACGAAGATTTGATTTGAGCGTGCATGAGAAACTTTTAGCGATGCCAAAGGTTGTTTTAGATGTAAATTGTAATAGATAGTCAAAAACAATTTTGTAGTGTTGGGTTGAAATAATGGATTGTCAGATAGATTGGTCGAGATTTTTGGTGTGTCTACGAGTGCTCGTGCGGGTTAGTTTCCTCCTCCATTTCTTAACTTTGGCAACACAAATATTTTTAGATCGTGGTATTTCTAGTTTAGGAATGTTAGTTAATGTTTAGAATTAATGGTTTCCACATATGTTAAGAGTGCACAAAAGTTTGTAATTGTGTGAGAACATATAGAAAGTTGTATATATTTGGATTTCAAGTAAATCCATTTTGAGCCTTTAAAAGAATTTGTATCGATATCTTGAATATCAGAATACTCTTTAAAAAGATCGCGTATGAATCGATTCACAATTTTTTTAAACAAAATTTGAATTGATGCAATTTTTCTGTGGGTAACAAATTGTAACACAGCCCATACTTCAAATGGTAACGGTCAAAGGAGAATGGCCCAATACAATGGGGATTGGTATGCTATTGCCCCAACTTCAAGACCTCAAACTTTGGACTTCAGATTCCAGAGACTTTAGATAATTTACATTTTTTATTCCATTATGATAGTTAATCAAACAATGAAATTAATTTCCATATTTTGATTCTCATTTTCAACCAACAAAACTGATTCTATCCCCATTCCCATTATGTTCTATTTGCCGACCAAAAGCACCATCTCAGTGGCCATATTTGTTTTGGTTATACTCTATCCACACCACGAAATAAAACATACGCATTTAAAATCAACAGTACGTAATTTTTTTATCAATTAATTCTTAATTTAGTGATACTTCTCTTTCCAAAGTCAAAAGAGATTTAGACTTCGAGTCATCTTCCCTTGTTGATAATAAAGACACAAATCCTTTCTTATTTGTCCACTTCTCACTAGGGTGAGTCCCACTTCGAGCTATCCAAGTAGGCTTATCATCTCATCCACCATGGGCTTTATCTCCAAATAAGCTAATCAAATTTAGTGGACTAAATATTCAAATTAATATGGTAAACCATTTAGATTTTTGGGCTCATGGTTGTTTGAGCGCATAACTAGTTAGCACACGCTCAAGCCCGACCCCATAGGTTACCGTGCAACCAAAAGACTCAGACAAGTTAATTTCTTTTGCAAAAATTGTATTGAACTAAATAGCATTTTATGTGTCAAAGTTATCATAATATAATGTGCATGCTTGATAAAAACTTTCAACACACGAATACATCTACGATAGGGTTTTCGTTTTGTATCTTGTACGAACAAGTACAACTATACTCGCAAATTTAAATCCTACTATAAAAATGTAATCCCACCAATTCACCGTTAAAAACGTCTTCATATTGAATACGAATTCATACTACTATCAAATTCAAATTTAAATCTTAGTATGAAAAAATAAACCCATGACATTGCCAATTTATAAATTATATTCTAACTATAAAATTTTATGTTAAGGCATAATTTTCGGGTGTATTAGAAAATAAAAATCTTGGCAACTAATAAAAATCTAAAAATTAAGAAGAAGAATATCCACTTGTGTTCATACTAGTGATTAGTCATCTATATCATAATCAATAACCAAGCTTAATCAATAACCCCCGCCAAAAAACAAAACAAACTGATTCAGTCCAATACTAGTTAAACACGTGGTGCTCCCACATGGATTCAGCACTCTCCTATGGCCCACGAAAACAATCTGTGGACCCCTCCCACGCGCTAATTAAGCGCGTGCACAATCCCCTTAGTGCCTAAAAACCACTCCTCTTCTCCCGCTTCGCAAACTCTCTCTGAGAAAAATCAGTCTTTCACTCTAATCACTTCTCCTAATCAAAATCAACGACGGAGATCCCCAATCCCATATGGAGATCTCCGCGATTAAAAATCCTCACCCTAACCCGAATTCCAATCACCATTCCCATTCGCCGAGCTTTCTCCTGCCCAACGGCTTCGGCGAAATCGAGATCTCCGATATCGAGATGATAACGATACAGACCGTCACCTACACCAGCCTCAGGGACCTGTTACCTGCGTCGCCTCCGACGATCATGTCGCCGACGCAGAATTCCAGCTGGCACGAGATTCCGATCAAAAACCCGCTCGTAAAGCACGCGGCTTTGGCTTACCTGCAGCCGATGTCCACGCCGCCCGAGGTCGGGGACAAGGGGCTATTGCGCATGCTCAGGGAGAAGTGCCTCTGCGGAGGCGAGAATGGGCTCGGGTGCTTCGCGTGGCTCGGCGACGTCGTTTTGAGTGGAGTTAGGGATGTGTTTGGGGGCGTTTGTAGGAATGGGTGCGAGACTGGGGATGAGGAGGATGAGGATGATGAAGAGGACGACGACGAGTACGTGAAGGTTGACTGAACAGAGGGGCAGGGGCATTTTAGGAAAGTTGAGTGTTGACTTTGACTGGTAGATAATACAGAGAGTGAGTGAGTGAGACTTTTGTGTATAGAATGTTTTTTACATTTTTTTATTTTTTTATTTTTTTATTTGGGTGGTGGGTGAGTTGTGAATAGGTATACATTGTGTTCGATTTATTAATCGCCGAACACATGATTGATTCGTGGAAGAGAATTTGAATTTTATTTATTTTTGTTAATAAAAAATTATTTGACAGAAATATTCTTGTGGAATTGTATATTTTGAAGGTTTTTTTCGGAATGAGTTTTGTGCTTTTCTTTTTTTTATTTTTAATTATCAAAGTTTAGTGTTTAACCCTCAAGATTTGGGCGATGAATAGTCTAATCGATTTAAAGGATGAGTTCAACTCTTATTGGTCTGAATTCTTAACTCGATGTCAAACTTGAATTATCAATCTAAATTCATAATTCATATCTAAATGACACCCTTGTTCTTCCTTAAACTACATGTAGTTTGTTAATAATTTATAACAATATATTTAACTTAGGGGTGTACATCGGTTCGAAATCAATATATTTTACCCTTGTTTTTAACCTCATTCTCATTCGCCGAGCTTTTGTGGATTGTCAAAGAAAGAAGAGCTAATTTGGATGTTATGAGTTTTCTTGTTCTTCTTCACCACCCTTGTCCCCTTAAGTTGTAATTTGCTTAGATATTAATAAATCTTGTTTCTCATCAGAAAAAAATTAAATAAAAAACATGTTTCATGTGTATAATGAATACACAAATAGAATATCGTGAATCATAAAAGATAAGGTAGATGTAAGATGGGCCTAGTGAAATGAAAATTGGGCTTTACCTTAGATTGGCTAAGCCCTAATTCAAACTTCACTAGGCTTGTCTTTCATCTAGTTAGTGTGGGAAGACCCACACTTATAATCACTAAAGAACTTATTTAGTTTTCCAATGTGGGACTCAAGATTCTCTATATAGAATATTCATATCTTTTAAAGACATCACATCACGAGTTGAGCAAAGCTCACTTTTACTCAATTTTCTTCAAATTTAATTTAAGCACAAGTGAAGTTTTCTCAAGACGACATAATATTCAATTTATTGGGTGAATTTTAAGTCCATTACTACGTATACATGCATGTGCAACATTCTACTAAGATTTGGGGTCAAGCAACCTTGAAAATGTTGTGGTAGCACATTTTGAAGACCAAAAATATGCATTGACGTACTGTTAATGCATGAAATAAGGTAAACTTTTGGTCCAATAATAATTATGCAATGCATGTGCATCCTACTAAGATTTGGGGGCCAACAAACCTTCAAAATGTCGTGGTAGAAATTTTCAACATCAATTATGCTCAGAGACTGGTGGGTATATATTTTCACATGTTTCGAATAAATTATTCCAAATGCCAACTCCTTCATGGGACCATGACTACGACGTTTTGGGAGCACAGTCATTAGTATTATGATTAGGATTTTATCATTGATAGGAGACTAGCCCCTCGGCACATGTGTGAGGATGTGCCAATTGGTTTTTCTTTTTCTTTTTTATTTTATTTTTAGAATTAAGAAAAGATAACATGGGTAGTTATATTCTATAAAAATATGTATTTCCCATATTATCCTCATTTAATTAATAATTTCAATTCTTAATATTTGCATTAATAAGGGCATTTTCTAGTATTTTGAATGTTTCACCACTCTCTGTCTTTTGCTTTATATATATATATATATATATATTTATATATAGATTTCATAAGTGCTAATCTTCTCATGAGGGAAGCACATACGTCATCAAAGGAGATGTTACATCAAAATAGAAGGAAAAAACGTTTATGTTGTCCGACAATTTCACTATTATAAATTCAATTTGAAGTGGACATCTTATTCGGTACAGATATTTTATATTATTTTTTGGTTACAATGAAAGAAAATAGAAAAATAGAGTATAAAAAAAAGTACTGACTTCGTAGATTTATTTTGTATAGCTAATTTTATTTATTTTTATTGGATAATGCTAGATATACCACATTTATATACTATATTGTGTATCACCTCTCTAATAGAGGTGAAGCCCACCAATACAATTGGCCTCACCTCTATTAAAAAGTTGGTACATAATGTGATATATAAATGTGGTATATCTAGTATTTTCCCTCTTTATATTTTTCTTTATGTTGAGAGAAATTTTCTTATATATCAATTTAATAATCCGAATTTTGAAAATACCTTGCACCTTTTTAATTTTTCTTTTTGGTTACGTAGGCCGAAGCCCAAAAGAAAACAACTAGCAGAAACAAAATTTGGGCCTAGAAAACCCTCCTAACACCAGTGGGTGCCCTTTCTATGCACAGGTCTTCAGTTTTGATATTAGTTATATACGGTTTTACTTGTCTACTTAACATAGAATCCGCTGTAGCACAACTTAAAAGGATTGATTAATCCGGGTTCGACTCCCGGCGGCGGAATGAAATTTTTTTTCCCCAACAATTACTGATGTTTACAATATAATTGTATTATATATATATATACATATCTTTTATATAAATGTTTACTTGTAAAATCAACATCTAATCCGCTGTAGCACAACTTAAAAAGGATTGTTAATCCGGGTTCGACTCCTGCGGCGGAATTTTTTTTTTTTCCTCAACAATTCCTGATGTTTCATCCAGTTTTGACAATATAGAGTATATACACCAACTTTCTATAAAACTAGTCAAAAGTTACCA